CAATCACGTGATCGTTACTAATACTGACTCCCATCCCACGGGAATACCATGGGAATCCCGCGACCCGTGGGATTCCCGAAAAAATGTCTGGTGCACCTCCCCCAAAATTGACGGCAGACAGGAGGCCTCTGATTGGTCAATTCTATATCCACTCTACACTGCATGTATTTCCTGTTTGGTACCTAATGGCAGAAACTCTGGCTGTAGTGCCGTCCACAATGCCTGGCACGCCTCGGACACTATCCCAGACACCGTGCAAGATGCGAGTTTGTAGCTCTGTTCGACGGTCTCTTGGTTTGCACCCGAAGCCAAAACATGCAGCTACACGGCAAGACTTTGGGGAACACTCACAGGTGAACTGTGTGTCGTCCGGCGTTGGATGAGGGGTTGTAGACGGCGGAAAACCTCGTCAAACCCACACACAGACACCCAGAATCCACAGCTAGTTCGTGATTGTCACTCTTGCGTTGTGTTGTGGAATAACAAAGCGCAGACCACGCTTCAAAATTGGACATAAATCCAAAATATCTGCGTGATATCTTCCACTAGCTAACAGCTAGCTAACTAGCTAACACTGCTGCGTACATGCTTAACCAGTATAACCAGCCCTTTAAAGAGAGAAAATTTGTGTGACAACGGAGGGACATGAGGGCCAAAAAGAGCGGGGATCCAGGTGGAAAAAGGGTCCCAGCGTTCTCGCGAAGTCCATCTTCACAAGTCGTTTTCCACAATGGCGGTCAAACAGGAAACAGGAAATACACAGTATGTAGAGTCTGTGGCACTGTCTGCTGTCACCTACACTTTTGGAGAGGTGCATCCAAGTGTGGAAGGGGCGGGGGGCACATTTGCACACATGCAGACGTCTTGGTTTCTGAGTATATATATATATGCATATATATGTATATATATATATATATATATATATATATCTCAGCCTTAAGATGATCTAAAGGAAGCGTACCTTGGTTTTGAGAGAAGAGTGTCGAGTGACAGAGTTGAGGATGTTATGAACGCTGACTGGACGTTTGTCTCCAAAGTCTTTTAATTGAGCTCCACCGGGTAGAGACGCCGTTCTGGCACCTCCTGCCCCACTGCTGCTGGCTCCTGGACCAGTGCCGTCGCTCTCTGATCTGAATGCTCTTCGGACATTTCCGTGCTCAGGGCGCTTCTTCAGCCTGGAACACAGAACATGGTAAGAACCGCAAACACCTCAAATAGTCGTGCTCTGTGGATGAAAGACCCACTTGAGGTTGGCGAGGTAGATGTCAGCCACATGGCCTCCTGTGGGGGAGGGGGCGCTGCCCCGAGCGGACACCCTCTCCTCCAGCATCTCCCTGCTGTCCACATCAGGCTTTGGACTTCCACGATCGACTTCGCTTCTGAAAATGCAGAAAAAAACCCTCAGAAGTTTCACAGAAGCTACATAAAACAGGACAATCCTGGAAAAAACAGAGTTCAGGACGACGGCCCCAAAACAGCTATAAGAGCAACAATATAGAGGTTTCAGTCCCAAACTAAATCCTAAAAGCAACACTGGCTAAATGAATCAGTCTGTTTCTGTGGTTTGAATCGGAGAGTAGATTACTTTAGCCCAGCAGGTTGAGAGGTGGTGGAGTTATAAACTCAGGCATTCTAGATGAAATTCTGCATCAGAAATCTGTCTGTCAGCTATTCCAAAAACAAAGTTAAAAACAATCCACTGGACTTTGTTTCCAAGTTTGAAGACGTTTCGCTTCCCATCCAGGAAGCTTTTTCAATTCAAAATGACAGTAACAGAGTTGAGTTTGAGGCTTTATATAGTGGACTGAAAACAAAGCTTTGTTTTGGCTTAGAAAATGTGCAATTTGAACCGAACAAATGAGTCCGCCCCTTTGGAATGGCGGCCGTTTGAGTTCTTTGTTAGCCTGCAATATCCGATACCTGTCTACGTCTCTGAAAGGGGGGTCATTAGAGGGAATTGTTGTCCTGGCTGAATAGGTGAGATGTTCTGTTCCACTGTATAGAGGTGGGGGTTGAGATGATAGCGGGAAGGAATCAACTCAATCGCTGCACTGTAGGTTTTTGAAAGCTGAGTCCATCCCCTCTGTTTAAGGCTGGTTTTTCTTTCTTGACATAAATGGCTTCCTTCACACCCCTCTCAAACCACCTGTCTGCTTTGTCCAAAATGTGAACATTCTGTACCTCAAAAGAACGTACTTTGTCCATAAGGTTTGTCCATAAGGTGTAGATGTACCACAGAGTCCAGTCCCAAGGAGGTTGTCTTCAAACTTGTGAACAAAGTCCAGTAGATTGTTTTTTAACTTTTTTTGGAATGACTATGACCTGGATGACAGCATGTCTGTCAGCTAACAACAGCTTTTAGCTTAGCTTGTGTAAAGTAAAACTCAATCTGGAGAAGATAAATAAAAAAAAAGAACTTCGAAAATATAAATTATGAAAAATAAAATTCATTGAATATAAAAAAAAATCCATTGTCTAAGATATCTAAAAATATTTTTTATTGAGTTCTGCAAATTTTATTTTACAAAACTTTTTTTTTTTCAAATTCCCATCTACGAAGCATTTTGTTTGCTTACAACAATAATAGAATAATATTAACTCGTATAAAAGTAAACCAACCCTCCAGATCCAAACTGAACCACGGCCAGACTTTAAGCAAACAGCTGCAGGTTTTAATTATTTATTAGTGGAAACATCTAAAAATCAGAGCCTTTCACTAAACCTCTGTCTGCTCTGTTTATGCGGGGAAGGAGACTAGATTCCCAGTCACATGCAGGCTCCACTTCCTTAGCAACGGGGATTTCCAGTGCATGAGTTTCAGTTGGTGTTTGGTCAGAAATCTCAACATGTGTTCGACCTCTTCCCTCTTTATGTTTTAAACAGACCACTGTTTGTCCTGTAAGCAAAAACATGGGGTTCATCTAATTAATAAAAATTGTTGCAAGAAAACCCCAAAACAAAACAACTTGAGGACTGTTTCTCTAGCTTATTTATTCTTAGAATAATTTCGCATTATTTTATTTGGGTGGGGTAGGCCATCTGCTTCTAAATTAGATTCTTTCTTTTCCAGTCTCCTTTTTTTGGCTTTTTCATGCTTTGGTTATGACGGCTGGTCAGTGGATAAGTGGGTAGCACTGCTGCCTTGCAGCAAGAAGGTTCCGGGTTTGATTCTGCATGGAGTATGCATGTTCTCCCTGTGCATGCGTGGGTTCTCTCCGGGTACTCCGGCTTCTGACTGTTGGGTTAATTGGCTTCTCTAAATTCTCCTTAGGGTGTGGGTGATTGGTTGTATGTCTCTGTGTTGCCCTGCAAACCAGTCCCGGGTGTACCTGTAGACAGCTGGTGATAGGCACCGGCAACCCTTGTAACCCCAGCAGGGATAAACGTGACAGAAAATGGATGTTTTGGTTACATGATGCTTATTTTCTCTCCAGAAGTTAATAAAAATAGGTGGAAAAAAAAAAACCCAGCAAACATCAGTAACGGTTCTGTCAAAAGAGTAATAAATAAAAGAATACAAAACCAAGATCTTACGTCTCTTGAATAATGATGTACTGGTGCGGCACCAGACCAGACACTCCATCGTGCTGCCCCTCCCACCAGTCTTCGGAGGCTCGCTGGAAGAGCAGGAGAGAGGCGCCCTTTTTGAACGTCAGCTCCCGACCGGAGCGGCCTGTGTAATCGAAACGGGCGACGGCTTCGACTGGTTCAGACTCTGAAACAGCCAAGGTGCCTGACATTCAGAAGGTGGGCAAACAGAGGCGAGTGGAGCGACAAAGCCAGGGTGCATAAGGAGAGAGAGAGAAAGAAAGAAAGAGAGATGGAGAAAACGGTTAGTGCATAGCTGGTTAGT